AGTGTGCAACGGCTGCAAACAGCAGCTTCTTGGTGGTGTACCCAGCCTGTTGTGTGTATGGGCTGCTATAAGGGACCTTGGAGACAACACTTAACTGCACTTTGATTCATGCTTCTCACAATGTCTTGTCCTCATTTAGGTTCCAGACAGGTATGCGAGGTGCCTTTGGAAAACCCCAGGATACAGCAGCCAGGGTCCACATTGGCCAGGTCATTATGTCCATGTCCATCTGTACCAAGCTTCAGAACAAGGAACATGTGATTGAGGCCCTCCGCAGAGCCAAGTTCAAGTTCCCTGGGCGCCAGAAGATCCCTATCTCCAAGAAGTGGGGCTTTACGAAGTTTAATGCGGATGAGTTTGAAAACATGGTGGCTCAAAAGCGCCTCATTCCAGATGGTTGTGGAGTGAAATGCCTTCCCAATCATGGCTCCTTGGACAAGTGGAGGGCCCTGCATTCGTGAAGACCTTGTTTATCACTGCCCTGTCTTAGCCTGTGCGCCAATAAATTGAACTTCTGGCTCTAAAAAAAAAACTCATTGCTCCTGCATGCTGCATAGTATTCTATCATGTGAATATATCATAATTTCTCAATCCATTCCACTGTGGTAGGACATTTGGATTGTTTCCGTGTCCTTGCAATGATGAATAACGTTGTTATGAATACTGGTGTACAAGTCTCCATTTGTGCCTCAGTTTTCTCTCAGGGTAAATTCCAAGCAGTGGAATAGCTGGGTCATAAGGAATTTCTATGTTCAGCTTTTTGAGGAAGCATCAAACTGCCTTCCAGAGTGGTTGTACCATTTTACAATCCTACCAAAAATATCTAAGAGGTACTTTCTCTCCACCGTCTCTCCAGCATTTATTACTTGCTGTCCTGTTAAACTTTGCCACTGCTACTAGGGTGAGAAAGTATCTCATTGTGGTTTTGATTTGCATCTCTCTGTCAGTGATTTGGAGCATTTCTTCATGTGTCTATTGGCCATCTGAATATCTTACTCTCTGAAAATTCTTTCCATGTCTTTTGCCCAGATTGTAATTGAGCTATCAGTCTTTTTCTGTTGGAGGCCCAGGAGTATTCTGTATCTGAAACGGTATTGTCAAATGTTTGTTCCCAGTCAGTAGATTTTCTTTTCATTCTGTTGAAAAAGGTTTTGATAAGCACAGGGATTTAATCTTTAGAAGTTCCCATTCATCAATTTTATCCTCTTCAGATTGTGCATTTCTGGCTGTATTTGGCAGTCTCTTTATACCATAGACTAAGCCTTCTAAGTTTGACCCCATTTTGTCTGTTAAGAACTTTATGGTTTGGGTCTTTATTCCCAGTTCTCTGATCCACCTTGAGTTGATTTTTGTGTATGGTGGGAGATGTGAATCCTGTTTGAGCTTTCTGCAGGTAGCAATCCAGTTTTGCCAGCACCATTTGTTGAAGAGGTTATTTCCCCACTTGATAAGTTTTATTTCCTTGTCAAATATCAGTTGACCATAGATAGCTGATCTATTTCTGAATTCTCAATTCTGTTCCATTGGTTAACTTTTTGAGAAGGCACCAAACTGCCTTCCACAGTGGTTGCACCATTGTACACTCCCAACAGCAGTGAATAAGCAGGTTTGACATGGGGGTTTAGAGGAGAATAGGATAAGAGTAGATAGATCATGAACACTGCACTGCAACAGATGAAGAAAAGAAGTGTTTAAAAGAAATATATGTTTAGAAATTATATGTAAGACAACAGTCCAGAATAAGAGGTATATTTCAGAGGACTAGGGGGAATGTAGGGAGGGAAGTAGTTGTAGAACAATAAATGAACATTTAAAAAGAAAAAAAAGGCAAGCAACAAATGCTGGCGGGGTTGTGGAGAAACTGGAACCCTTATTCACTGTTGGTGTGAGTGTAAAATGGTGCAACCATTGTGGAAGGCAGTATGGCGCTTTCTCAAAAATTTGCAAATAGAGATACCATTCGTCCCAGCAACTCCACTACTGGGAATATACCCCAAAGAGTCCATAACTGGCATCAAAGCAGATATATGCACACCCATGTTTATTGCAGCTCTGTTCACAATAACAAGGAGTTGGAAACAACCCAGGTGCCCATCAACAAACTCATGGATAGAGAAGCTGTGGTATATTCACACAGTGGAATATTATGCTGCATTGAAAAATAAGGAACTCATGCAATATTATTCAAAATGGGTGATCCTGGAAGACATTATGCTGAGTCAAATATGCCAGTCACAAAAGGACAAATACTGCATGGTGCCACTGTTGTAGAATGAGACTGACATCAGGGTTGGGGTAAGACTGAGAAAAACTGGATAAATTATGTATACTGCATTGAAACAGATGAGGGAGAGAATAAATTAAAAACTATATATGAAAGGGTATTATAGTTATCACAAGAGTGCAGAATTAAGGAGTGTACCTGGGGCGGTGGGAGGGGTACAGGGGGACTGTATACCAAAGAAAGAATTTTTCTTTTACTTTTTCAAAAAGAGGAGCAAACTGGAGGGGAGGGGGCGACAGGGGAGAGGAGAAAAGTTCAACAATGAATGAATGGAAATCCAAAATCTCTGTAAATGTTCATTATTAAAATAAAATTTTTTAAAAAAAAGAAATAAACTTAAAAATTATCAAGAAAAAAGTAAAAATTAAAAAGTGAACTGGGAGAGGGGGAAGGAAAGGAGAAGGGGTAAAAATGTGTAAAAATGAACGAATGTAAGAATGAAAATCTAACTTTTCTGTAAACTTTTGTTAAAATCACAATTTAAAAAATTATTTTAAAAAGGATGCAAAGGAAGTATTGCCTTGGAAAAATTGCCTGCAAAGGATCTCTTTAAAAGTGTGAGAGAAAAAGGATGTCATTTTAAAGGTACATGACCCAAGCCATGGAATTCTCAGTTGTTTCATGTGTATATGAAAGAAGGGCAACAAAAACTGAAGAAAAAGTAATTCTTCTGAACTGTAGTATTGGCAAACAATATTTAAGATCTGATGGCTGAAGAACATACATACCAATCTTGGAAGAAATGAAAGGCAAGAATGCTCTTTCAAAGCAAAGATAGTGATGATTTGTCTCACAGGTTTTAAGTACATTATCAGGAGGGCCCAGTCTCTGGAGAAAGACATCATATTTGGTAGAGAATCAGTCCAAAAAAAGGAAAGATCCTCATTGAGATGGACTGGCACAGTGGTTGCAACAATGGCTTTAATTAATTAATCACAACAGGATTTATTCATCCTCTTGGGAGGATGGTACAAAATCAGGCATGGTTTTGTTCTGTTCTACATAAGGTCAATGTGAGAAGAACCAACCTTGCAGCCCCTAACAACAGATTTGATTCTTTTTCATTGTTTACATCTAGACTCGTCAAGTATTTGGTAGTCTTAGGTGACAAGTATCAGTTTTTGCTTCTGCATTGTATTCCTTCATACTGCACATAAATTATATGGAATAAATATATGTTAATTGATAAAGCAATTATTTTCCTTCTGTAAACTAACCAAGAAGCCCTGATGATGCAGTGGGTTAAGCACTGAAAGGCTGGAGGTTTGAACATACTGAATGAGGCAGTCTGCTGCCATTAAGATTATAGTTGAGGAAACATAAACATAGGCGATACTTATGGATTTGACCTGATAATATGCACAGGTATCAGAATGATTATACCTGTGGAAGAAATCACTGGAGAAGTTCAGTATCAGCATTGAAAACTAGGCCAGATGCTGATTGTGGAACCAACCATCAACCACTCAAATTAAAGCTATATAAGGTTAAATCAAATCCACAGGAATCAAAATTTGACATTGAGTCTGTCACACCTGAATTTAAAAATCAACTCAGGAACCGGTTTGAAGCCTTGAACACTAATGCATGAAGACCAGATAAGCTGTGGGAGGAGATCAAGAGTGTCATCCATGAAGAATACAAAAGATTATTACAAAGAAGAAAAGACCAAAATGGATGGCAGAAGATTTGCTCTTACTAGACCTAAAATTTTTATTACTATCTAAAAGAAACGTTAAGCTGAAACAAAAAGGTAAGAAATAGGTTTTTTTAACGACAATAATAAAAGTTGTACTTACTTTTGTATTGCATTATCCTCTTTGTTGCAACATTATCACTCTCTCAGATCACAGAGATTTTTATTAAGGGGACTATGTTTACTTCCATATGACCCTTTGGCAACAATGAATGACTAATACTGAACATCCTGTGAACTGCCAAAAGAATAGATATGGCTTGCAGAATGTGTAGCCAGAGTGCTCCTTAGAGGCAAGAATGGCAATGCTGTCTTACATACTTTGGGCATGTTGCTGAGAAGCTACTCCTTAAAGAAGGACATCATGCTTTTAAAGGTGGAGAAGACTCTCAACTAGGTAGATTGACAGAATGACTGCAGCAATAGACTCGAGTAAGTCAGAAATGGTAAGGATGACACAGGATATGACAAGGCTTCAGATCTGCTGTTCCAAAGATCGCTATGGGTCATGTTCGACTTGATGACATCTAACGATAACAATATTATTTTGGAGAGCTCTAGCAGCAGTCTGTGGTCTTTATGGTGCTAACCAAAAGGCTGGGACTTGGGCAGTTCTAATCCAACAGCAGTTCAGTGGGAGAACGATGGGCAATCTCTTCTTGTGCGATCCATAACTTGGAAACGCGCTGGTGGGTCAATTCTGCCTGGATGGCCTTGTTTGTTTGTTTTTAAATCTGCATTTAATAAAGGTTGAGGCTCATGGAAGTATGTGCTAAGTTGCTAGACAAGTCAGAAAGGACAGAAAAACTACCAGAGTCGAATTAAATATCACTCCTATGAGAATACACTGGACCTTTACATGAGCAGAATGATGTTAATTTCAAGCAGATGGTGAAAACAAAAACTCCAACCCCCCAAAACACAAACTTCATTACACCTAGTCATTAGAAAGGTTATCCATTTTTCGAGGAAAGGACCCCACGTGTCTCTCCCCACACTATCCCATTCCCTCTCCTTTACCTGCTTGTATCTAGCATACAGGTACAAGAGCTGTTCCCTGCTGGCCACCTGAATCAGGCCTTGGAGATGGGCTGCAGCCTTCTCAAACAGCTCTGTCAGGTTCCTGAATGCCTCGGTCTCGGGATTCTGGAGGGATTCACAGGCATCGCCCGAGTCGTCCCCCGAGCTCAGTTCTCCGCCGCTGTCACCCGTGGTGGCCCCCGTGGGCAGCAAGGACGAGGCCATGTCGCCTTGCTCGGTCCGTTCGTCTGTGTCGAGCCTGTGCTCCTCAAGGCGGCTGTACAACCAGCTCGGGGGCCTCGCAGGGCAGTGTTGGTCCCGAACCCGTGCTTGAGTGACCCAAGCGCTCCGACTTTGCGCTTCTCCTACTCTACTCACTAGGCGCAAAGACAAGCCTCCGTTCCACTCGGCAGCAACCTGGCCGGATGATCCGGCCTCGTGTTGCCTTCGGTTAACAGAGCGCTAAGATTTGCTGCGGGTGCCTCCAACGGTACGAAAGAGGAGGAAGCAGCGCAGTTCTAAAATCCCGGAGAACAGATACCTCGCGGCGGGAGGATGGGCTGGTGGACAGGACAGCTAAGGCGGAGCAGCGTGAGCGCGGAGCAGCGTGCGCGCCTGAGTGCGCGCCTGAGTGCGCGCCCCAGCACGCGCCCGGGGCTACGCGCAGCGACGTGCAGTGCGCGGCTCGTTTGGGCCTGCTCAGCGCTCGTAGGGGAAGTGTGGGCGGGCCTACGTTTAACGTCTTCCCTCTGAGAGGTTTTGTGGGACCTAGCAGGAGAAACACAGCTTGCAGAGGCTATCATTTATGGTCGGGGTGTTCTTTAATCGTTTTGGTGAAATCAGTAGTCATAAATTGTGCCAGTTGTGCTGAGAATAGACCCATCAGCGCTGGAGGGGGGTGGGAAAAGGAGACCATCTGGAGTGTAGGGATCTGAGAGGTCGCGGGAAACAGGGAGTAAGAATCAAAGTTCCGCTGGTTTTGGCGCTGGCGGGTTCCTCTCGCAGTTGTGCTTAAAACCCAGATTTCTGCGCGCCCTCTTTCAATTTTCACACTTCCCCAATTCTTAAATTCTCAGGGGCCTGACAATAATGGGTATTTCTTGCCTTGGTACCTTTTCTCTTCCGAGTTCATTTCTGGGTGCCTGTGATTTGTTTTTGTCAGGTGCTTTCCAGTTGACTAGGACAATGATTAAGGAGGCTAGAAGGAGAATTGATGCCTTTGAGCTGTGGTGCTGGAGAAGAGTATTGAGGGTACCATGGACTGCCAAGAAAACAGATTCATCCTGGAAAGGGTTGAACCAGGCTGCTCCTTGGAGGCAAGGATTCTGAGGCTCCGTCTAACATACTTTGGACATGTTGTAAGGAGGGACAGGTCCTTGGAGAGGGACATCATGCTGTGAGGAGGGACAGGTCCTTGGAGAGGGACATCATGCTGTGAGGAGGGACAGGTCCTTGGAGAGGGACATCATGCTTGGGAGGGTGGAGGGACAGCGCAGGAGAGGAAGGCCCTCTAACGGGTGGATTGATTCAGTGACTGGGGTAATCGGGATGGGTGTATCGGAGATGGTGCGATTGGCACAGGACAGAGCAGAGTTTAGGGCTCTTGTACATAGGGTCACTATGAGTCACAAGCGACTCGAAGGCACATAACAACAACAGGACTCCATGACCCTATGAAAAACAAATCTGAACCTCGCCCTATCTCGCACTATGCTCACGATCTCCGACATTCTCCTACCTATCATTACAGACACATTGTCAATCCATACTGAGGAGGATCATCCTTTTTCTCATATCTTTGCGAGCATGATGTCTTAAACACGCGCACACACACACACACAAACTAGCCCTTCCTGCCTATGCAAATGCTTTAGTTTATTGACTATGCATAGTATTTGTGTGGATCACAACAAGTTATAAAGATTGAGGATCCTAGAACACTTTAAATGTGTTCTTCTAGAAACCTACATCCTATTTAGGCCAAAAAGCTATTGACAGGGCAAACAAAAATCCTCACCACTGGGTCAATAGGCAGCATCGTGGTAGATGGGGAAAAGATTGAAGTTGTCGAAGATTTCATCTTAACTTGGGTCCACAATTAACATCCTTGGTACCAGTAATCAAAAGATGCATTGGGGAAATCAGCTGTCTGAGACCTCTTTAGTGTTCTGAAGAAGAATAATGTCAGTTTAAAATTAAGTTGTGCCTGTCCGAAGCTAAAATGTTTTCAATTGCTTGCTATTTTTTTTAAAGATGGACAATGTTTAAGGATGACAGAAGAAGAATATATCCCTTTGAATTGTGGTATTGGAGAAGAATACTGAATATCCAATAGACTACCAAGAGAACAACCAGGTCTATCTGGGAGAAAGTGAAACCAAGTATTCCTTGGTGGCAAGGATGGTGAAACTTCATCTCACATATTTTGGGCATGTTGTCAGGAGGGGAAAGGACCAGTCCTTGGAGAAGGATGTCCATTCTGGAAAAGTGTAGGGTCAACAGAAGAGACAAAGACCCAAACCAAGATGGACTTGCATGATAACTATAATAATGGACTCTAGTGTGTTGGAGATAAAGAGTATGTACAGGATAGGGGAGGTTTCAGATCCATTGTAAGTAGGGTCACTGTGAGTTACAGTCATTGTGACAGCATGTAACAATAACAACAGAGTCCCTCCTGACAGAATGCCCAAATTACATGAGTTCACGTTTCACTGTGCTTGACTCTAAGGAGCAACCTCATTGCACTTTCTCTTGACATATTTATTCTTTTGGCAGTCCATGGGATACTCAGTATTCTTTGCCAAAACCACAGTTCAAAATTGTGAGTCTTCATCAGTTATCCTTATTCAGTATCTAATTTTAAGATGCACAGTTGGGAACAAGAAGGATCAGTCAACATGGACTTGGTGAAAGAAATAAGGCTGGAGACAGAATAATAGAATTCTGTGCAATCAATGATTTATTCATTGCAAATACCTTTTATATGAAACACAATGAGGGATAATACACATGGACCTCACCTGACCGTCTAAACAGGAATTAGATTGATTACATATGTGGGAAAAAATTATTGGAGAAACTTAATATCAGTGGTAAAAACTAGGCCAGGTGCTGATTGTGAATCAGATCATCAACTTGTATGCAAGTTCAAACTAAAGCGGAAGAAAATCAAATCCACAAGAACCAAAGTTCGACCTTGAGTGTATCCGTCTTAAAGTTAAAGACCATCTCAGAATCCTTGCCTCCAAGGAGCAGTTCAGTTTAACCCTCTCCAGGGTGAACCTGTTTGTTATCTAAGAAGTCCATAATACATTCAATACTCTTCTCCAGCACCACAGCTCAAAGGCATCAATACTCCTTCTATTCTCCCTAGTCATTGTTCAACTCTCTTACACATAACAACTGATTGAAAAACCACAGCCTGGATCAGGCTCACCTTAGTCTCCAGAATGACACCATTGCTCTTCAGCACTTTGGAGAGATCCCTAACAGCAGACTTTACCATTGCAAAACATCTTTTAATTTCCTGGCTGCTGACTCCAAGAGTGTTGACTGTGGAGCCTAGCAAACTAAAGCTGTGAACAGTCTCAATCTATTCACCATCCATCCTGATGCTGCCAATTGGTCCAGTGGTAGCAGGGTGTTATTTAGCTCCCACGTGGGTCAGTTTTTGTCCCTTATTCCCTTTTTGTCAATTTCTAGTTTTATGAAATTGTGGTCTGAAAAGATAAATTATTTCAATATTTTTTCATTGTTGAGGCTTGCTTTGTGTCCTAATGTAGTCTCTTGAAAAGAAACAAAATTAAATTTTAGTTGGGTCCAGTAACCTGAATTCATCCACAAAGTTGAGTTGGCTACTATATAATTTATATCTTCTGCATCTTTGTTAAGTTTCTTTCAAATTGCCTTATCCTTTGGTGAGAGTGGTGTGTTTATATTTTTCTTCAATTCTGTTAACTGTTGTTTTTATATATTTTGCAGGTCTATCCTTTGATGTGTAGATGTTGACCAAGGTTATGTCTTCTTGATCTGTTGTGATGTTAATAGTTATATAATTCCATTCCTTATCTTTTACCCTCGTTTTCATCCTGAAGTCTATTTTTCAGATATTAGTATTGCTACTCCTGCTTTTTTGTGGATGCCGTTTGCTTGGTATACTTTTCCCAGGCTTTGATTTTTAGTCCACCTTTTTTCCTCATTTCATTGTTGGGTGTTGATTTTAAGTCTATCCCACTCAAATTTCAAAACCAGCTCAGGAACAGGTTTGAGGCCTTAAACACCAATGAGCAAAGACCAAATGAGCTGTGGGAGGATATCAAGAGTATCATCCATGAAGAATGCAAAAGGTCATTACAAAAGCAGAGGAGGAAGAAAAGACCAAGATGAATGTCAGATAAGACACTGAATATTGCACTAGAGTGACAAGAAGCCAAAGCAAAGGGAAGAAATCAAGAATTAAGGAGCTGAACAGAAAATTTCAAAGAGCAGCTCAGGAAGACAAAGCATTATAAGGAAAAGTGCAAAGAGCTGGAGTCAGAAAATCAAAAGGGCCAAACTCACTCAGCACTTTTTAACCTGAAGGAATTTAAAAACAAACTCAAACCACAAGTTACAACACTTAAGGAAGCTTTGGGTAGAATATTAAATGATACAAGAAGCATTAAAAAAAGATGGAAGGACTTTACAGAGGCACTGTTCCAAAAAGAATTGGCTGAAATGGAAAAATTTCTTGAAACAATGAATGAGCAAGAGACTGTGGTGATGAAGGAAGAAGTTCAAGATGCTCTGAAAAAACTGGCAAAAAAACAAGGCTCTGGGAGTGACACGTGAAAGTGTGCAATGGAAGGAGGCACACTACGGGATGGCATTGCCTGCATTGTTCCCACAGTTATTTGGGGAGAAAACTTGTCTAGCTTGACCACATGGGACCCCTTAACTTAGGTATTTTGGGGGGAAACTGCTGTCTGGCCTGACCACATGGGACCCCTAAACTCGGGCAACAGGGAGGTCCTAAGCCCCTTGACAGAAGTGAGAAGCCACTTCCAGAAGGGAACAACAGGCTTCCCCCCTGCTCACTCAGGTACTTTTGGGGGGGGAAACTGCTGTCAGGCCTCCAGCCAAGAAAAAAAAAACCCACAACTATTTAGAGGTTTGACAAAACATTGTTGTACCCTGGATAATTTTATAGTTATAACAAACTAATATCTACTAAGAAAAGACTC